TATACTAACGATTATTTTTAGCAAAGAGAAAACTCATCCGTCTGACGAACTATACAGGGTGACTTCGAAGTTGAGTCATTTATTTTAACAGTGAGTAGATCTGATCAAAAGAAATGTTTTTTCCTTTACCATTTTTCTGGTAAAATTAAAGTAACAAAGTTATAGCCCTTTGGAAGTTTGAGTACCGCCCTGTCTCAATAATAATATTATGTGCTCGTGTTTGGCGACAACGGATATAATTCGCCTTATCGGAAACAAAAAAGCGAAAGAATTTGGAACGATGTTTTTACAATTATTTCATTCAGTTGTATACAGTCAGTGTCAGTCGGTAGTAGATAGTGGTGTCTGTTGCGTGGCTCAAACGAAATAAAAAATGGCACATGTTTATGCGGATCGGTTTCTCAATCGAGTGCAACCAACCCCTCGTGCCTTTGTTAATGTAGTACAACGGGTTCGTGAATCATTTGACTTAAGACCTCACATATGGACGGCATGCCGGTGCTCCAAGACCTCACGATCAAATACAGGTCCGCACTGAAATACTTGTCGGGAGGATACTTTATAAAACAAGGTAAATTTTTTTTTTTATTTTTACACACATATTTTGGTTTATCTTCCTTCTACAACCATTATCTGAAAATTAATGACTCAACTTCAAAGTCACCCTGTATAACAAAATATAGTAAAAATAGCACTAGCAACTAGCAACAAAAAGGTTTCCTCTTCTAGTATGATGGCCATGAAAATCACGATGCCTTTTGGAAGTGGCTAAGTTCTACTTAATGCATACAAGGTGTTTAAACAAATATACTCCCACAACTGTTAATAAATCATTCCCAATAAATGTATTGCGACATGACTCAATAGTTCCTAGGTCGAAAATTAAATGCACAATGCCTTTTTGAAGAATGAAAACTCGACTGTAAACATAGGAACAATAGGTCAACAAAGCATCGCGGGATAAATTTCGCTTCAATTTGACCAAAGCAGAGTATGCTTTATTTAGTTTATTGCAAATTACGTCTATACATAAAGTATTGTATGCTCTATATTACAACCATGCATTTTCTATCTGTAGCTTATGGAAGATTAGAATTATCAAAAATACAACGCTAAGTTTATACTTTGTAAATGGTTAAACCCAGCTGGTGAATAATAATTATAGACACATACACATAACAAAATTGAGTTTTTTAAAATTTCGAAGTGTCGTCCGAATGCTAATAAACCATAGTCATATATCTGCATACGCAATGTTTGTTATGTACACACATTACCGCATTTGTTTACAATACGCAGAAACAAACGTATACGCATATTAATTCAGAACCATAATGAGAATAAGCATGTCAAAGAATCCATTAAACGTATTAAGCGGAGCGTTTTAATATATACAGTATGTTACTACGAGCTGTACACAGTCAGAGCATGATATGAAGAGGAAAATGCACACTTATTTGTCGCTCTATTCACATATTCAGCTGTAGATAATCAGATAAGAATATAATGAATATCAATAACGGCATAAACCCAAACGGAATGATATAATGGGGTATATACATTTTTTTATTTGGACGAAGCATCAACAATTTCCATATAAAAAGTAAATTCTGAGTGTTTTGCACTTTTTTTATGTACCAGAACTGCTAAAACTTAGCCTCCATAGTTCAAAACTTAATTTTCGCTCCCAAGCTGTGACGTAACAAGTTCTCCCACGTCCTGTCTTTATTTTGCTATAGAGGTTAGGCTGCCGTCATATGTGAAGGAACAACCTTTATCATCTGGTATTGGCAGTTTGGCATGAATTGTATGGTCAAGTTATATAGTTATCTGGAATACAAAAAAAATCCTATCGGCTGATTCCTTTGCCGGAAACAGAGGCTTCAAATTTCAAGTGTGAATTTCAACTATTTTTTCCAACACATAAACGAAATAACAAGAAAGAACTGTATCAGGATCGAAAGGTGGCTGTAAACAATGTATTTCAGCTGTTAGAAACGCAAATTTTGTCAAGTAGAACACCCCATTTCATATCATACATCAGAGCTTAATGATAATTGAAACTGTCTTTTGTCAACTTCCTGTCAGTTATAGTCACTTCAAATTTTATGTTGAAATTAATCTATACCAGGGTATATTTTAAGGTAGTTTTCGAGGTATAGACTGTAGACGTATGGCAGTTGGATCAATGAGAACAAACCTTTTTGAAACGGTTATTCTTACGAAATTTGTATTAACTCCTGCGCAGATCCTTTGTCTTGATTCCCAATACGATTTTTTGGTAGTAATAGTAGGTTTCGTGAATATTAGAAAACTTGCGGCTTGCTATATCAGTGGGCTGGTCACCGGTGTTAGTTTAAAAAAGGAAAGGATGACTGGGGGTGTGTACCGGGGTAAATTTCCACGATAACTAAGTCGAATGGCGATCTAGCCCTAATAATCCCCATTATAAATATCCGAATTTATTCTTCGCTACTGTCGGCAGTTGCAGATCTGTTGGATCTCGGTGTCAAACCTATAATGCAGGTACCGTTTTTTTTCAAATCGTGAGTACATTATTCGTCGGATTTTCGTCACTTACATTTCCTGCAATTCTTGGGATCAGAAGCTTCTTAATAATAGAACGTGTTTTACGTATTAAAGATGCAACATTTATAATCACCTCCCCCAACCCCTACTTTTTAAGCACTAAAATTTTTTATGACAATGATTATTAATCCCTGAAACCTCAAAAACGAAGTTTCAGCGATTGTTATTTTGTTCTTTTTTTGCCTGTAACGCTGCCGCCACTGGACTGAAACTACAAAGCATTGGCATAGTAGTAACCTCGCGTGGAAATTTCATAAAAATCCGAGCGGTAATTTCCAAGTTATAGACGGGCAAATGATTAGCAGACACACAAACGGAAATGAGTGATAGAGTTATTCGTAATGTAGTTGACACATAAGACCTAGAAAACATAACATCTCATTTTAGAATTTTTTCGCGCCACTGGCCTGCGAAGTAAAACGGCTCTAAGAGAAGGAGTAAAACTTTTTAATTTACCGAAGCAGTCTAAATGGCAGGAAATTAGTATATTCACCATTTTAGGTTTCATTTATTGTCCAGAGCAAGATAGATGGATCAGAGAGACAACCGGGGCATAAGTTCAGAAGTTGCATTTACGTAACTTGTTATGAACATTTACTTCGTATCAGCGATCGCGATTATGAACACCTATTTGCAGAATGACTGATACATTTTGCGGGCAATCTGTATAATCCGGTATTCTATACAATACCTAGATAATGTATAGAATACCTAAAACGTGTAGGAAATGTATGAAATATTATTTGTTTTATACTTTGCCTAGGTATTTATTCTATACAATACCGAATGCTCAGTCGGTAATGTACTAAATGTAAAAGACGAGAGCAAGGAGCGGGTTTTGCTCAAGGGGAAGGGGTGGCTTTCAGCAATATCAGCTGCAAAACAGCTTCAAGGCAGCCACAAAACAAAACTGGAGAAGTGTGAATGGAGGTTCTCCGCAATGCCTTCTGACGCTGAAGGTTAAAATCCCATAATAAAATGGACGGGTTAGCACCCAAACCAAAACAACTAAACGTAAGGTACGAAATAAAAAGGGTACTTCTCCATAAAGTGGTGTTGTGGGTCTAATAATCCAGAATCTGGAGTTAATGAAACGACGCCTACACCACAATCTCCGCAGGAAAGTAAAATAAAATTGTTGATTTGTGTTTCATTTGCCGGTCATTTTATAACTATGCCGGTTAACATTGATAAACTTAGGCCAAGATCTATTTATTTTACACATTGCCGGTGGAACAGCAGGTACTTTATAGAATCCCTAGGAATTGTATTCATTACTTAGGTAAAGTAGGGATAATAATATTCATAATATTTCATACATTGCCTGAGTTACCCAGGTATTCTATACATTGCCTAGGTATTGCATAGAACACCTGAATTGTACAGATTGCCGATCACATATACACGCTATTATATGAAATACGGCCACCAAACTATCTGAATACATCGTTTCTTAGTCCGTACATACCCCCGCGTCGTTTGGGCTGGCAGCACTAAACCGCAGACAAAATTCGTGAAAAATACGTTTTGTAGAGGTTTGCGTGCATCGAATCTGACGCTTCATTTTTTAGCATTTTCGAATAAAATGTTTACAGTGTGCTGAAAACAAAACCCTACAGGGTGCTATTGAGCCACTTTTTCATTTTTTCCACTAGGCTCTTTTTAAAAAAATCGCGAAGTTCCTCAAACAAAGTAAGCATTTCAACCCATCATAAATCTTGTGCAAAAACAAAATTTCAAAAAGTGCTCCGATAGCACCCTGGACAATTGTCTTCTGAACATAGTGTATAAATTTCATTGAAAAATATTGAAAAATGGAGTGTCAGTTTCGAAGCAGCTGAACCCTTGTAAAATTGCTTGAAACACTTTGTCGGAGTCGTCTTAACACCTCTCTTAAGCATTTGAAACGAACGTGAATAATCAAGGCCAATTGAAATTGATGTACGCATCTAGCCATTTTGTATCTAATTTACAATCTAAGAACATCACATTTATTCCTCGTGGAATCTCAAAGGAAGCGTAATTTATACTATAGCTAAATGTCAGCTGAAATGTTTGCTAATTTACAAAATTAGAGGTAAGACGAAGGCTGAAATGAGATGTATGATACTTTTAGCTGAAATCCGTTGCGTGTTTCACATCTTTTACAGTTATACTTGTTTTCAGAGACTTTTATTTACATCCTAGATATATAATTAACTAATTCTATATTCTCGACTGTTCTTGAAGAAAGCATACATCTAGACTTTCAACATATTGTCTGATCCTACTTCCACAAATCACTTAGATGAAAAACTATTGCAATTCATTTAAGAAACTTTGGGATATATGAGCGTTGATGTAGCTTGAGAAGTTTGAGGTCGCCAAAACCAATTAAGACGAAGAAACAATTATTCAACAAAATTGCTTACCACATAGCTTGTACAGAAACTGGCTTGAAAATATGATGTCTATCACATACTGTGACGCTGAAGCCACTGAAAGAAAAAATACAGTTATAAAACTTCACGAATCAACAAGGTTAGGCAATACTAATAGTGAAGCATATTCTGCTATCCTAAAAATATTACCTTGTATCAAATACCCAGTAGCAGAGTTTCTAAAACATAGGGCCATTCACTTAAGATTCATGCAGACTGTCCCCTGATCATGGGTGTTAAGTTCAAACAGTGGTGCTTTAAACTATTCTTAACACGTTGGCTGCCATGGCAATTTTCAGAAGTTCCACAAACAATAAAATATTATCTTATTTCTTAGATTTGAACTAATTTCTATAACTATATTTTTTGTTCGCTTTTTTAATAAATTTTGCATGTAAGCAGTTTTTTGTTTCTTTCCTAGAAGTCATTTATCGGTATTAGCACTGATATATACCGAGTTTGATCGTAGCTGCACAAAAATGGCAAGTATACAGAGGACGAGATAACCCGTAGTAGGCGTCCCAGAAAAGAACGCAATCGACGAGTTATCTCGTAGTTGGCAGTCAATGTGTTAAGATCTCAAGCTGTTTAGATCTTTTGCAATCTTTGAAACAAAAACTCACAGTTTCAACGATACAGAACAAAAAATTCGATATTACATTTTTTAGTAGCAACTGTAACATTAGTTGATCTAAAGTCTATGAGTCACATGTTAAATCTTGTTAATCTGCAGACTGTTCAGATAAGAGAAATCGGATAATTGCTGGATGCAACTGAATACGAAATCAAATTATCGAAAAAGTTCGCAGTAAGCGTTTTTTCGAAAATTGTCAAAGAACATGGATGTCGAGGACAATCTCTACGAAATCATCCCTTGATTTTTTACCGAATCCTGAAACATGCGAATAAACAGAGAACATAGTTTTACTATGCAGGACTTTGTCTAAGCATTTCATTATGGATGTAAGGGAATACAGGCTCCATAAATCCCTCTCAAGTTGGTGAAGATTTTATATAGGGTGTTCATTTGGAAACTTCCCACTACAGATTTATCGAAAACCACTGATTAAAAGAAAATACGCTGAGACACGTCAAAAAATTTGTAAAAATTTTAAATTACAACGGGTATCAGGTAATAGCTTGTTTTGACGTTTGATTTTTTAAAATCGGTCGATTCATTTTCTAGAAAATCAGAAAAATCTGTATTTATCATTTTTTATTCAATTTAATTATAATAAATTAATAAGTGTTCAAAATGTTGCCCGTAATTGGCCAAACAATGATATAGGCGATGTTCAAATTCCTGACATTTTCAAAAACATGTGGGATATCATGGCAGCTTTCGATGATGCGTTGACGAATTTCATCCGAACTTTCAGGTTGGGGAGTAAACACAATGTATTTCAAATGGTCCCATAAAAAAGTCTAATGGCGTCAAATCAGGAGATCTAGCAGGCCATTCTATCCATTTATCTGGAAACTCGTCGTCTAGCCATAGCCGAACCGAAAGAACATAGTGAGGAGGAGTTCCCTCTTGCTGGAAATATATTTCAGCCTCATCAAGTATAGGGTTTCCATCCTCTTCGATTTGGTTTTCAATGGTTTCAGTGACAAGCGGATTGATGATACAACATATCCAAATAAATGTCTCAATTTAAATTTCCATTAATAAACAATGGCCCATTCACATTGTTTCCTAAAATGCCTGCCCATACATTAATTTTTTGGGGGTACTGGGTATGCCCTTCTACAATAGCATGATGATTTTCATTGCTCCAATACCTGCAGTTATGCCTATTAACAAATCCATTTAGATAAAATGTGTAGCATTCATCACTGAAGCAGATATTCTTTACACGAATGGTTATTATCATTAATCTCTGCAGTCATTGGTTCACAAAACTCAACTCGCCTATCGAAATCATATTTAGTTAACTCTTGCAATATTTTCATTTTGAATGGATGAAATTTATGGAGTTTAGTAACTGTGTGAACAGAACCTAATGAACTACCAGTCGTAGCAACAATTTTGCGTAATGAAGTATTAGGATTTATTCCAAAATGACCAAAAACTTCAACTTGAGCAGCTTCATACAAAACCCTCCGATGATCAAGTTTTTTTGTTGCAACAGATCCAGTTCGAGTAAATTTAGTAACAAGGTCCAAAACATACCTATGTGAAGTAATCTTCCCCGGATGTCTGCCCAGCACATTGATTTTGGGCACTCTACTACTCTTTATTAGAATCATTTCCACTCTTTTGGCTAGTTTTTAAACCATTCTGCACTACCCCCTTAGCAACAAATAATTAAACAGGTACAACAATAAATACAGTTGACTTGGATCTGTGTTGATGAAAAGAATGGGGGAAATTCGGGTTGTGATTTGGTTGTTGCCACGTTTAATCTTCCGAACTGCTGTTTATGTAAGTAGTTTCCGTTTTAAGTTATAAACGAATTGTAGATTTGGCAAACCCTACCCAACGGGTAACATTTTGTTTTCTATCTGAACAAATTAAGACAAATAAAGATTCTTCTAATTTTCTCGAAAACGAATCGACTGATTTAAAAAAACAAGCGTCAAAATAAAGGACTTCGAGAGACCTTTCAAATAAGCTACCCCTTGTCATTTAAAAGTTTTTAAGGGAATGAACCTGGGGGACCGAGGGTGAAAGGGGGTGAAGTAGTTTTTGGTTAAAAAGTTGACAAATCTTTTGACGTGTCTCGGCGTTTTTTCCTTTAATCAGTGGTTTTCGATAAATCCGTGGCGGGACGTTTTCAAATGGACACCCTGTATGTTTATGCACATCCTGACTACGCCGAGGTGTGAAAGATATGGTTGAAACCGCTTGAGGCGACTTGTCGTTCAAAGAAGGCAGTACCGTGGCCGATACGACCGCTCCTTTGTCCCTAGGGTGTCGAGATTGTGTAACAATCTACAGGAGGAGGCTTTTTCTAGTTCTACTAACTTTAGGCAGTTCAAAAATCGGATTAACAAAGTTTCTTTGGGATCCTCATAGCAGCCGCGGTGCACTGCCAACCTATCACAATGTGAAGCAGATCATAGGAAATGCAACTGATGTTCTGGATAATTGTTGGGGAAAACCTCTCCCGTATTTTACAGAATGTCTTTTGCATTATAGTATGGGCATTCATTTTGGTTTTTTTGCTCTCGTTTTAATGAATTCTGAAGAAATCCGCTGGTTTTCTTCTATCGAAGTGAAGCTTATGTTTACTTACCCATCTCCATCGAGAGTGATCTGCGTATTAGCCAACACCCTAAGGACTAGTCCAACAGTGGTAAGCTCATTGCAGTCGATGCCCAGCAGGCAGGACTCCTCGCCTCTAGTGCCCATCCTTGATACAACTACCAGGTACCGGGTACGAGTAGGGTGAACGCTTTCTAATTTCACTGCCTGTAGAAGGAAATATATGTACAGTAATGGACAAAAGTATATAGGCAAATTAATATTGTGATGTATTGCTAATTTAACTTGTTTTATTAATACACCAATCTGTATACATAATTCGTTATAGCATAATATTCACTTATACATAAATAAATTCATTAGACTCCCTTCAATAAAAAATTAATTGAAATTGAAATTATGGAATAAGTTGAGTGATTTTAAGACCATGCCGCGTGGTCCATAAATTTCTTTCGATGTGAAAACTAAGATCACTGAGTTATACAAAGATGGTCAACGACAAGTCGACATTGCCAAAAATTTGAAGCTGAAGCGTAAAGCAGTTTGGGTTATTGTCAATATTTTGAACAAATATAAACAAAAAGGTATCTTGGAAGCCTCTAAGAGAAGTGGTCGGCCTAGAAAACTAAATGCTAGATCAGTTAGATTAATAAAAGTAATTTCGTCCAAAGATCCGTTTAAAACCCCAAGACAAATAAAAGCCGAAATCGAGACAAAAGGAATTGTCAGTGTTTCTACGAAAACTATAAGTAGGAGAGTAAATGATTTGAAGTTATTTGCACGTCGTCCGAGTAAGAAGCTGCTAATCTCGAGGAAAAAGCGTAAGGACCGATTACAATTTGGACGGTTGCATCTTGATTGGAGCATCTGTGACTGGAAGAGAGTATGTTTCAGTGACGAATTCAAGTTCAATATGTTTGGATCAGATGGTGTTCATTACGTTAGACGTCCTAGTGGACAAAGATTGAACCCCAAGTACACTTTGCCCACTGTCAACCTTGAGGCGGGTCGGTTATGGTTTGAGGGTGCTTTTCGGGGTTTGGGATGGGACCTTTACACAGAATGGATGACATTATGGATAAGTTTGTATACACAGACATACTAAAGCATGTCATGTTACCCTATATGGAAGACAATATGCCCTTAAGATCAATCTTCAAGCAAGATAATGACCCGAAGCACACTTCAAATCTTGCAAAGAAATTCTTTCTGGATGAAAAAATTCCAGTTCTCAAATGGCCTTCACAGTCTCCAGATATAAACCCCATTGAAAATCTATGGGAATACTTAGATAAGCAAATACGAGATAAAAATTATTCAAACAAGGATGAACATTTTGTCGCTTTAGAGCAAAAGTGGAGACAGATTGATGAATCTTATATCAAGAAACTTCTACAATCTATGCCGAGACGATGCCAGGCGGTGATTGATAATAATGGATGCTACAAAATATTAACACAAACATGGCGGTTTTCTATAATTCAATGAACTTTGCTTCTTTTTTCTATAATTGTTTTGCTTTGTCTATATATTTTTGTCCTTCATAGTTCCAGTTTTTTTCAATTATTTTTTGGTTGGTGTATTAATAAAAAAAGTTAAAAAAGTTAAAAAAGAAATACATTTTACTACCGCTAAGCAGCCTTTGTGAAGTTGGGGGCCAAACTTACAAAGGCAGATAAGAAAAGGTAAGATTTGACAGAAATGTAAGAATGACTCGGGGAGCGATTATCCTATAACAGGGCTGTCCAACTTAATGTGGCCCAAAAAAAAAATGCAGTTTGGAGGGCCGCATTATAAAATCTTTCTATACAACATTATTACAGAGTTAATGTAAGAATTGTGCATATTAGGTATTTGGGAGTAATTTATACATGTGATGTATACATGACCCGTGAAGCGGGCCGCAAGAAAGGAGTTAGGGAGTTAGGAGTTAGGGCCGTATGTTGGACAGCCCTGTCCTATAAGATTCCCGCAAGAGAGTGAGAACCACACCTACGTTTTCTCAGTGATTCTATAACCTCGTTTTCAAGAATAGAGATTGATAGTAGGTAAAAATGTTCTTTTGGGTTATGGCAATCTTCATGCCTGTTCTAAGCGTTGATTTCATAAGGACCGCAAGTTTGACAAGCACTTTGAACATTCATAATATAGCTTTACTTTTGCTGTTCGTAAAAACCACTGGTTAAGATCGAGCACCGCCATTAGTGATACAACTTTTCTCTATTAGGCAAACATTTTGACAAAGATCAGGTATATTCAGGGGGTGTATATAGGTATTTTCACGATCATGGTAAAAATTATAGGAAGTACTTTCATACGTACGTCTCCCTCACACATACATGTGCAATGTGATTTTTATATAAAATTATCTTCATTTAATTTCGTGGGGCTTGAGAGAACGTCGACTGCTTTTTCAAAAACGTTTATAAACTGCAGTATGTACAGCGAGAGCGAAAATAGCGAGAAAAGTGAATATTTTCAATGAAAAGTGAGATGAATCGAAAAAAGTGAGAAAACGTGAGTCGCCAGCATAACTGTGACAGTAGTAACGTCTGATGTTGGGAGAGAGCAAGCATAATATGTAACACGAAATCACAGTAACTATCTTTTTGAATTTTGAGCAGAAGTTTCTGACCGCTTTTCAAATTCTCAAAAGCAAGGGCTGATAAAACATTTCACTTATTTTAGAGATTTCAAATTAACGGCAAAAAACATTTGCTCAAAATTCAAGACTAATTGGAAGCAATTACTATGAAAAGGTTGTTGAATAGTGTCGTTTGCTGTAAAGAAATTCTTCTGGTGGTGTTGCAACAATGGCTGCAAAAATTATGCAAGAGTATATCTGTAATATGTCGTTGTATTCACACAATAAGAGTATGTATTTCTATGCTGTCAAGAGTCAAAAGAACTACGTTTCTAATATGTAGTGGAAGACGTCGCCTCATTGAGTTTGTATTCAATAGGCATTGGCAGCTTCCTATCGTGTTCTATAATTATGGACGGCATTTAGATTGAGCGTTCACCAGAACAAACTTCAGGAACATGGGCTGGCAAAGTTGGCAACGTATTGTCATCTATCTGTCCTGCCATGTTATTTTCCGCGTTTATCTCGATCCGATACAAACGAACGGCATCTTAACGACCTATCGAAAATACAATGCTAATTTTAGTTCATAATGTCATAGGTTGCAAGTGTTAAACGCAGTGCATTATTCCATAACTAACGCAAGTGCTTCATATTTATTCCCAAACATAATGTCTCCTTTCGTTCAAATGAAGGTTCAAATTGACTGAAAGAACGATGTTTTTTTGTTTTTGTTTTTGACACACTGTAAAAGTTAGATGCTATTATTTGATGAATATTTCAGTTCGATTCCATTGTGCTAATACAACAGTTTCACAAATAGAATCTGCATGGATCTTTGTGTCACATTAACAAAATGCATAATGAATAAATAACCCATCAAAGTTCCAATCGATTCGTCCAGGAATGCATATGTACGATAAAGTTCGGTAATGAATCATACCACGGATATTTTTTTATATTGATATAAACAGAGCCGTCAGAGCTTTCCGATATTTATACCTGTTGGCTTCCGGTTGCCATCTTGTAAAACGAATGTTGCTCAGGATAGTACATTTTCCAAGAGAAAAAGAGCAGCATTTCAAAACTATGTACTTCACGGAAGAAAGTTTCTGCATCTAAGATATAGAGTAACGAGCTTTCCATGATGGTGACAAAAAAAAATCAATTACAATCTCCACAAGACCACATACATAAAAATTGATTTGGTAATATTTGTCTTAAAATATTTTTTTACCTAAGTTTACGGAAGCAATAATTTTTCAATATAGTTGACGCTGTAGGCTTCTCCATTAAGATAATTATCGCTTTCAGCCAGAGCAGCGAGTTTTTTTTCATGCGCGCATTTATCGTTTTTATTGCATTGTTGTGTGATTATCATGGTAAAAATAAACATGTGTAACGTGTATGTGTATAGTATATATATATAAATATATGTAACATAGACTTTCACTTCATATTTATTGTCGCCTGCTCGTTTACCAGTTCCTACATCATGTCATATTTTACCACCGGAGCGGATAAGTTACATAAGACAATAATATTTCAAATCCGTTTGCTAGTCTGTTGCAAACGAGAACATTTCTAGGAACACTGACTTCGCTCCCACAAGTATGAATAGTTTATGGAAAAACGATAGTGTGAGTGATGAACCGCATGGTACGAGGTTCGATATGAAAGTTTCCATTACGATAACAAAAATAATGTTTTAAATAATAATGTATTTACATTGCGAAAGTTGGTTAAATGTCGAACCTACAAATCGTTAAAGATGAGGCGAAAACCTCGCATGCGTGGGAGAAACTGTCAGACTCGATTTTTCTCATAATTACATATGTATATGTTGGATACCTTTTAAGGTCGCATGCCCATTTTTTCTAAACTGCCTTTTTGTAGTAGTATCATGGATCCTTTTCATCTGATTATTTCATGGTGTGTACATAGATGACTAACAAACAAAACAATTAATTTTTTGACAACAAATGCATTTTTGTGTATTTTGTCTTCAATCGTAGCTTGTTAACAAATATTAGTAAATCATATGATAAAATTTTACTTTTACAGTAGAACTAGGCGGGCTATTTGATTCTTATCACTTTTTCTCTTTGAAAAACCTTTGATGGGAGGGACATTAACATGAATAAAGAGGTTATTGGGCGGTAACTCGATGGAAATCTGTTTGAACTTTAGTATATATATATATATATATAGAAAAGAATGCGATGGACAAAGTTTTTCTTTAGTTTTTTTATCACTGTGAATAAAAAATATGTTCTTCGTAAAAAAAATTCAGTGCCTAAAATCTCTTTTAAAATATACAATATAAGGATGCAAGTATCTTAATTAAAGTTCAAATCTTCCCCTTTTAGACCCCAAAGAATATTTTAGGCTTCGTTTATTTTAACCGCGCCGCCCTTTAGCTTACATCAAGGGTCAACTTCAGAGAAAAAGGACCTTTTTTCAGATGATCCAAAAATCTGAAAAAAAAAACTCAGAAACGCAAAACCATTTTGTAATAATTTATTTATAACAATTATTTGAACAAATTCACGTTAAGGGGACAACCGTGGTTATGAAAAAAAGTTCTTCCAACGGATGCGAGGTTTCCGCCATAGTCATTCAT